TCAATAACGAGAGGGTCGTCATGCGGCCCCCTTATCCCTCCTAGATCCTCTTCAGTGATGACAATCTCAGGAAATGTATATTTGGACGGTCGTTCTTGGTGAACGGAATTTACATCTAACCGCCTTATATTATCTTTGTTGCCCCTAATAGTGGGGCCGCCTCCTGAGAAGCCGCCTGCAATGGTGTAGACGACTGCATCATCTGTATCGGAACTGTCGGCCTGTTGATTCTTTTTGGCCGACTGCTTTTTTGAGGAAGTATTCCCCGTAGATTTCTTGACATAAGTGTCAAGATCACCTTGATCAGCCAAGCGGTCTAGGTACCGCATGAGACTAATGCAGTCGTTGGTGTGATGACCAATGTCATCATGATAAGCACAGATTTTGTCTTGGTTCCGGTTGCTCGCAGAACCCTTCATGGGGAGCGGTTTCTCAATTGAGAGCCGTCCCTTTATTTCTTTTAGGATAAACTGGTTATCCTTGTTAAACACATACTTTGGGGAGTATGGTTTGAATTCCTTTTTCTTCTTGGCCGGCTGTTTAGAGGAATCAGCCGCCCAGACCCCTTTTCTTTTTTCATCTTTGTTGGACGACTGTTTCTGTCGTCCTTCTCTATTGTCGAACCTCTTCCCGTCCGACTGTTTCATTGTACACAGATCAGTCGCCTGTATATAGGCTTCTGCTTCAATCAAGGCCTCTTGAAGAGTCGCCACCCTTTTTCGAACTAAATCAAATTTGAAGGTAGACCCGTCTTTGAGACCTCTAAAAAAGTCAGTATAAGCTACCTCATCCGGTAACCCTTGAATCTGTATTCTCATCAGGTTGAACCGCCTGATGTAGGAACGAAGCCCCTCCTTTTCACCCTGCTGAATTGTTCCCAAATCAAGGGTCGTTTTCTTCGCAGGGATGTTCATTGCAAAGTTGGAGGCAAATAAGTAAGCAAGCGTCCTGAAACTGTTTACACAACCAGTCGGCAGGTTGCCGAACCATTGCTGTGCAATTCCCTTGAGAGTTGCTGGGAAACACTTGCACCAAGTGGGATCATCCAACCCTTGAAGGTACATCAGGTTGGTGAATGCCATCAGATGGTCTTCCGGGTTAGTAGTGCCATCATAGGCGCCTACTAAAACATTTTTTACCTTGGCCGGCTGAGCGGCTTCAGTAATTTCCTTGGAGAAGGCCGACGGCTGTTCACCAAGTCTAAGCAGCCGTAGCTGCCAGTCCATAGGTTGGACGTTTTTTGCTGCAGGTCCACCAAATGGAGGTGGCTGCATAAAATATTGTTGTTGCGGCACAAATGGTAAATTTGGTACCGCCTGCGCACTATGAAAGCCAGACTGACGGGAGGTGCCGCCTGACTGACTCTCATGGTACGACTGAGTTGGCCTCATCGAGGCATTTCGCAAACTGTCCTGAAAATTTGAAGTAGAAGCCGACTCTGGTAATCGGTCACTCTTCTTCTGCTCTAGCAGGTGCCGAGCATCTGTGAACGTTTGCCTTGACCCGTCCGCCTGAATATGACGAACCGGTTTCCTATTTCCCGTAGGATAACGGAGTTTTGTGAAATCAAGAGCAGACGGCTCCCGCTTCTTAGATTTAGGATGGGGAGTCGCCTCTCGCCCTTGAACTGGCTTCCTCTTCAGTGAAGTGGAAGGTTTTTTGGCCGCCTGCTCTTTGACTGAAGCAGGCGGTTTTTTGTTGATCAACTCTTGGATCTCTCCCTTGAATCCCCTCATGAAGGTCATGAGTTCGTTCCTTGTGATGGGAGCAGACCCATCAGTCGGCTGTTGCCGAGCAAGCGGTGCGCCTGCTGGCTCGCTTCCTGTTTGAAGATACTCCCGTTCCCTTATTTCAGTATGACGGGTACGGCGGGCCCTTAGGGTCCCGTCTGGAGCTGTATGAGTTTCAACTTCAAATTCACTTTCGGTATCATGGTCCGACTGAACTTGAGGGTCGTCTAGGGGACGCCTCTCTTCTGGGGTCGGTACAGACTTGGATGCCATCTCTGAAGTACTCTCCCCACAGACGGCGCCAAATGTTTCGGGGTTTTCTGATGTCCTGCGGGAGAGTTACAATTCCGAGACTGGAACCGGACGCCTGTACCTGCAAAATAACGGAGACTCCTGAGAGCTCCGCCTCCAACGGTCAAGTTAGTACCTGATTAAGGAGTAATTAATACAGAAATTAAAGTAATAAGGTCTCTCTAGGTGAGAGTATTTAATGTAGGTAATCTGCTTTGCTAGCGAGATCAGCCGGTTATTAATGTGTTCCGTAATGTATTCGGTCCCTTGATTAATGAGGATTAATCGAGTATTTATAGCCTTGGGAAGCGTGCAACTCTCTAGGTTTAAGGTAAACCTAGGGCCGAACGGGCTTCTAGACTGAAATGGGCCTTGATGGCCGGTTGTCCCATTTGGCATGGGTGGACACGTGGCGTGTCTTAAGTGGTCCATGGAGGACGCGTGGCGGAACCTGGTTGGTCCACTTGTCAAACGGTGCTTGGTGGATAAAAATCCCCTAATCACTTGGGAATATATCTAGGGGTCATATAATGTCGTTTGGAGCATATATGATCATTATTTGTTGTAATAAATGTTCGTGGTAGGCTAGAATTAATTGGTCGTTTAAAGGCAAATTGGGTGGTAGGCTAGAATTAATTGGTCGTTTAAAGGCTAGAATAAATGTTCGTGGTAGGCTAGAATTAATTTCGAGACCCGATTAAGCGGTGCAAGTTGTAAGCCGATAAATTGGTCGTTTAAAGGCAAATTGGATGGTTCCACCCACCCAATTGGATTCTCAGAGGATGTTAGGGTCTATGGTAAACATTTTGGCAATTTTTTTATGCAGGCGAAAAGAAGTCAAAAAATTCATAAATTGAAGGCTATTATCCACGCTTTTTTGAGAGATTTCGAATGTTTCGAGTCCCGGTGTCGAAGAGCATTGAAATTTTAGGGGATACATTTCGGGGTCATATAATGTCGTTTGGAACCATATATGATCATTATATATTGTCATAAATGTTCGTGGTAGGCTTAAGTTAATGAAACCGGTGCAAGTTGTAAACCGATAAATTGATCCTTTAAAGGCAAATTGGATGGTCCCACCCAGCCAATTGGACGCACGGAGTGTATTAGGGATCATGGTTAACATTTCGGCATTTTTTATTTCCGGGTGAAAAAAAAGTCAAAAACTCCAAAATTAAAGACTAATATCCACGTTTTTTGAGAAATTTAGGAGGTTTCGGGTAGAGCTGTCAACTCGGGTTAACGGGTCAGGTTTGGGTCGGTAAGAGTGGGTCGGGTCAACTCGAGTCGAGTCAATTCGGATGAATTCCATAACCTACGCGGGTCGTGTCAATTCGGATTAATTCCATAATAAGCTACGCTGGTCAGGTTTGGGTTGGGTAATGCTTTAGTCAGGTCACGTCGAGTCATACTTCTTATCAGGTTTGGGTCGTGTTAATAAAAGGTAGGGTTACATTCAGGTGGGGTGAGCAATAGGTCGGGTTTAATTCGGGTTTTCACGGGTTAAAACAGGTTAGGGTAATTCTCGGGTTCGGTTCAAGTCAATAATTTGCGGGTTAGAATCAGGTCGGGTCATTCTCGATTTTGAGCCGGGTTCGATTCAAGTCAATAATTTGCAGATTATAATCAAGTCGAGTCATTTTCAAGTCGGGTCATTCTCGGGTTCAAGTCGGGTTCGGTTTAAGCCAATAATTTGCGGGTTACAATCAGGTTGGGTCATTTACAAGTCGGGTCATTCCCGAATTCAAGTCGGGTTATGTTCAAGTCAATAATTTGCAGGATACAATCAGGTTGGGTCATTCCAAGTCAGGTCATATTCGGGTTCCACTAACTATAAATAGATAATTATCATTTTTATCAAGCTAATTATTTCCTTTGACTATAATATATATGACAATATACTAGGGAACTATAGTCTATAATTTAGGAAGATAATTATCTCCTTTGACCATACAACAAATATATACTATATTTAACTCTTAAATTTGAGGATGATGCTCCTTTTTTTTGCTGGCCTGGACCGACTTAGTCTCCCTAGACAAAATGATTTGATCAACAATAATATAATAAGATGGTCTAAATTGCATTTAAGGTGATTTAAAATCGGATCAGGAACAATTTGGGTTGAATTTAGGTCGGGTCAATAACAAGTCGTGTTGATTTCGAGTCGGGTTAGTATTATGTCTGGTGAAATTCGGTCGGGTCAATAACAAGTCGGGTTGAATTTGGGTCAGGTCAATAACAAGTCGGGTTGATTTCGGGTTGGGTTTGTAACAGGTTGGGCTAAATTCGGGTCAGGTTAAGATCGAGTCGTGTTAAATTCTGGTCATGTTAGTAACAAATTGGGTTAAATTCGGGTTTGGACGGGTTAAAACGGGCTTAGGTCAATTTCGGTTCAAATCGGGTTCGGTTCAGGTCAATAATTTACGGGTTACATTCAGGTCGGGTCATCTCCTGATCAGTTCATGTTCGGGTTCGAGTCTCACATACTCGGGTCAACTCGGGTTTAGGGTTGGTTTCAATTCGGGTCAGGTCGGGTTTGGTTCACCATTTTTTCGGGTTCAAATGGGTCGGTTAATAATCGGATTTGAGTCGGAATTTCGGGTTGGGTCAACTTTTGACAACACTATGTATAATGAAGATATGCACCGGATATCGTGGGCTTAAGCTTAAATGACTTGCTAAGGCGTTTTTTTTTTTCAAATATATTTTTATTTATAAGTTCTGAAAATGCGGTTAATTGTACTACCTAATCAAAGAACAAAATTACTGATTTAAGGCAATTTACTCATTGAGATGGAGCGGATATGATTGAGCAACCCGATCGGATACAAGTAGTAAGCTGTAAAACAATCATATATATCAGGATGAATACAACCACAAATGGAAGAGTTTACGCAAAAATGAAAACAATCAGAAGTTTGAGCAGTACAAGAACAAACAAAGCTAACAATAAAAGGATAAAGTGGGAAAGAATGATGAAAAGCATCCTTCTCAAATGAATGTAGCATTAAGAAATCAGGTTACACTGTTCTCAGATTACAGATATGTATCAAAATTTAAAGTTGTTCGTAATCTTTGTCCTAAGATCAACTAAAACAGAAGCCTCTATTGTGTGTCATTTCTTATTTCTCATGTAAGGGGCAAGGGAGCTCTTACAAGACTGCCCTTATCAGATTTCAGCAGCCATAGTATTTCTCATGAATGTGAAGCAAACACATTCAGAAGCCTGAAGTTTTTGAAGGACTAAGCTAACAGATATTATGACTGGGAAAATTGAAACAGAGAGTATTACTCGTAGAAGTTCAAGATAGATGAGGAGTCATACTGTATCAAAAAGATGGCTTCCAGTCCAGCATTTGTCCGGCAAACATAGGGATAATTTCTCTGGAAGAAAAAGGTATATGGTCTGGGACTTTCCATGGTTCTTTTTTCAACTTGATCTTTGATGTATTCCTTGGAAGACCATAGAAATCAGGTCCATTGAAGCTTGTAAATGCCTCTAATTTGTCAAGGGCACCTGCCTGAAAAGATAAATGAAGCAGCAAATTTAACTTTCAGCAATTGCTAATCGAACTACATACAAAAAAAGTTTAACAATTTCCACATTATTGTGCTTCTAGTTCGAGATGACCCTAGAATGGACATGCATTCTTTCCTTGCATTCTTTGCAAGAGGAAGATTCCAGCACATAAGTTACGGGTGTTATATGAGCTATACCTCTTCAAAAACTTTGGCATATAGCGATAGAGCAACAGGGGAATTAAAGATTCCAGCACACCCACAGGAGCTCTCTTTCCTTTGCCTCTCATGAGGAGCACTATCAGTCCCAAGAAAATATTGCTTACTCCCACTGGTTACTGCTGAAAAAATTGTCTGCCCTACACAAGCAATTAAAAGGTACAATCAGAGCATGCAGATAGCAAAAAAATGGACAAAAACTCATGTCAAGACATAACTGACAGAATTTCACAGTATCTTCTTCTATAGTTGAAGCTATTAAGGTAAAAAAATCAGCCTAAATTCTTTCACATACACATAATATACAAAATATGGATGTTTATAATGCCTATGAAACAATACATACTATGGATTTCTCTTTTGAGCACTGGAAGACAATAGTTATGTGGTTGCAACCCTCCTTGGAAAAGGGAGTTTCTATTCAAAATGATGTGCTGTGGAGTCACGGTAGCTGCTACATTTCCTGATTAGCATAATGGAGCAAGATAATGGCAAATCAAATTGCAGACTGAAAGAAAATTAAATTATATTAAATTGAATAACTGAAAAAAAATATCTAAGAGATAGACATTGTTAAAATAACAAAACCATAATCCTACCTGTATTGCATGATTCAATAAACTTCACAGCATCTGCTGTAGTGATATGCTCCATTACAACTTTTAATTGTGGTAGTTTCTGAATTAAAGGTCTTAAAACCGTGTCGATAAAAACTTTTTCACGATCAAATATATCTACGTCAGGATCCGTAACCTCTCCATGGACCTAATACAAATTGCCATAGTTAATAAAGGACAGCTTCTACCTTTTCACATGTGCAGAGTTAAACAGATGATAAACTGTCATTCATTGTTGTACCATTAAAGCATAATTCCGTTAACCAAGTAGCATCAGAAAGTTCCAGGATTTTTAATGGTCTGGTTTTCATGTATTATGAGCTATAAGCCATACAGAAAATCATTGAAAGTTCTCTTAAACTGGACAGTAACAAGCCTATTCAGATAGTGTCTTCAATAGACTTATACTGTCCAGAATTCCAGATCCCACAATTGTTGTTCCCTGAATAATTTGGCTTTAAAGTTTGACAGTTTCCTAAATTCACTTTGATTTTATAAATCAACAACTATTGTATATAATCTTTCAGGAAAACTTTTGTTAGCTCCCAACCTAAAACCTAAATCAATAATTTAACATTAACAATGAATTTCTTCATTTGCTTACTAAGCCAACCACCTACGATTCAATGTTTGCCCCAAAAAATGATATGCCAGGGTCTTCTTTCCCATATTCGATCCATACCCAAATTAAGAAACCAGGAAAAGGAAAGGAAGAATATGAACTGAGCACTACCCAATGGATTCTAGAGCATGATGTTGCAGTTGGGCCTAATGTTTGTCATTATGGACTCCATAGCATGATGTGGCATTATGAAGAGAGAGGAAACAAATAAAAGGTTTTATTAAGTTTAACATTATAATTCTTTTATCTTACCAGTTCATTAAGTGGAAATTAGAAATTTCAAAATGGAATGGAAATTTTTGTTTCTCTCCACCAACTCATTTTAGTAGATTTTGTATTTTATAAAGACAACTTACCAATAGAGGCATATTTTGCTCAGCCATCTCTTGGAGCACTGGCAAACACTTTCCAAACAGATCAGTGACACCATCCTGTGAATTAGTTGTTGCACCAGCAGGGTACAGCTTTACAGCATAAACCACCTCACTTTCTCCTGTTAAAAGAATCAGCCACTGCTAATCAAAAAACAGAATTGCATTCAACAATCCGAGTATCCTGTCAAAGACTCTAGCTAAGGATAGTAACAGTAATTGCAAAAACACAATCCTAGACTACCATGACTCTACACCAAGAACCCAATCTGATAAATAAGCAATGCTCCATCATGAAATGAGAACAGTGAAAATATGGGCATATGTGTTAAAATCTAACCAACACTTGGGACAGTGAAAATATGGAAAGGGAATTAAAATCCATAGGGAATTAGGGAGTACAAAGTGAACAAGAAATTTCATGTAATGCATGATGCAACAGCATGGCGGTCAGTAATGAACGGGTGGCTTTAGATTTGGTAACCCAACAACCAGATAAGACCCCAGATGCCAAATTGGTGATTGGAACCATCTTTCACCACTCTTGACTACGATGTAACTAAATTATAAATAGCCATATAATTGAAGCAAAGTCATTTTTGGGACTTTATAAACCTATTAGTAGGCCTTTTATGGTTCCAAACAACCTTTTATAACCTTAGGAGACACCCTATACATTCCCTCCAATTTTGGAAAAAAAAAATAGTGACATTTGTAAAAAAAAAAAAAAAAAAAAAGGCATGATGCATGGATTATAGCCTTCAATTTTGAAGATTTTTGACTTTTCTAGACCCGGAATGGAATGAGGTTGGATGTTTTCCATGGACCCCATGAAACCCTAAGTGGTCATTTGGGCCGTCGGAATCATCCACTTTGCCTTCATTAACTCAATTGTTGTTATACATTTCAAACAACATTATACGTCCCATATGCCTTCTCAACCATCAATTGATTTTCCGACACTTGGTTCCAAATCTTCGAAAATGATCCAACTTCATGAATACCATTTCATTTCCTCAAGCCTTGTCGTCAAGCTCCTACCCTTGCTTAGGCCATTGTATGCCTTGACTGGTAACAACGCCCTAACCCCATGCCTTAGCGTGGCAACTGCGCCTACTCGCTTAGATCTTCGCTGGGAGCACATATGCAAGGCAACGTCGAAGATACTAAACAAGGGAAATAACATATTATGCCAAACTAGAATAAGGCTATGCAAAAAAAAAAAAAAAAAGAAGCAAAAAAGCACATCTCTAATTAAATCATCAACGTAATAATAAGTAATGAATGGGTGACATTGGGTTTGTTAACCTAATGAATAATTCCTGTAAAGATGTTGGTGATTAGAACCATCTCTTACAAGTTTTGACTTCCATCACAACAAAATTTCAAAATAGCCATAGAGTTGGAACAAATTCTTTTCGGGGACTTTAAAGACATATTGGTAGGATTTTTATGGTTTCAAACTAACTTTTTCAACCTTAGGGAACACCCCGCACATTCTGTTTAATTTTGGCAAGTATCTCAAAATTGGTCCAAAAGCGTAGATTGTAGCCTTCATTTTTGGATAATTTTCAACTTTTTTGGACCCAAGATGAAAAAGGTTAGGGTGCTTCCCATAAACCCTACAATACCCTAAGAGGCCATATGAATGCTTGGAACCATCCACTTTGCTTTTAAACTGTTAAGTTAGCTAATAATGTACATGTCTCTCTTCATTTAATTAAGGTAACCACTTACGTGCCTTTATGTGACAGATTAGTGACTTCATATGATTACAAATAACATAACATGACCCCAGGTGCCTCCCCTACCAGTAATTGTGTTTTTGACACTACGTTCCATAAACTCTTATCCAATTTTTTAATATTATATACTTTAAATTTGGCCACCTAAGAATAAGTTTACATTCAACAAGGTTATGCATCAAGTCACTTCCAGATGGTGCCTGAAACCATCTCTTCATGCCTAGGACCACCCTTCGTTAAACAATATCATATCTTAAGATGCCTTGTGTTGCCGTTTGGAACCATTTATGATCATTATATGTAGTAATAAATAATCGTGGTGGGCTTCATTTAATGAAATCAGTGCTAGATTTAAACCGGTGTATTAGCCGTTTAAAGGCAAATTGGATAAAATTTCGGCAATTTCGGCAATTTTTACTTGTGGGCGAAAAAAAGTAAAAAAAAAATTGAAGGCTTATATCCACGTTTTTTTTAGAAATTTTGGAGGTTTCGGATCACTGAAAGGCCATGAGATTTTAGGGAATACATCTCAGGGTCATATAATGAAGTTTGGAACCATATATGATCATTATATGTTGTCATAAATGTTCGTGCTAGGCTTGAATTAATGAAATCGGTGCGAGTTCTAAATCGTTAGATTGGCTGTTTAAAGGAAAATTGGATGGTTCCACCCACCCAATTGGACTCCCGGAGGGTATTAGAGACCATGGTAAACATTTCGTTAAGTTTTGTTTTCGGGCGAAAAAAATCAAAAAATTCCAAAATTAAAGGCTAATATCCACGCTTTTGGAGAAATTTTTTAGGATTCAGGGCTCGGTGTCGAAAATTCTTGAAATTTTAGGGGATACATCTCGGGGTCATATAATGCCGTTTGGAGCCATTTATGATCATTATATGTTGTCATACATGTTGGTGGTAGACTTGAGTTAATGAAATCGGCGTAAGTTGTAAACCGGTAAATTGGCCTGTTAAAGGCAAATTGGATGGTTCCACCCACCCCAATTGGACTCACGGAGGATATAAGAGATCACGATAAAAACTACGGAAACTTTTATTTTCGGGGGAAAAAAGTCAAAAAATTCCAAAGTTGAAGGCTTGTATCCACGCTTTTTGAGATATTTTGGAAGTTTAAGGACACGGTGTCGAAAAGCCTTGAGATTTTAGAGAATACATCTCGGGGTCATATAATGACGTTTGGAACCATATATGATCATTATATGTTATCATAAATGTTTGTGGTAAGCTTGATTTAAAGAAATCATTGCAAGTTAACCGGTAAATAGGTCGTTTAAAGGCAGATTGGATGGTTCCACCCACCCAATTGGAATCCCGACGGGTATTAGAGACCATGGTTAAAATTTCGTCAATTATTATTTCCGGGCGAAAAAGTCTAAAAATTTAAAAAATAAAGGCTAATATCCACGCTTTTTGAGAAATTTTGAAAATTTCAGGACCCGGTATCGATAAGCCTAGAGATTCTAGGGAATGCATCTTAGGGTCATATAATGTTGTTTGGAACCATATTTGATCATTATTTGTTGTCATAAATGTTTGCGGTGGGCTTGAGTTAATGAAATCGGTGCAAATTGTAAACCGGTAAACATTTCGGGGTCATATAATGGATGGTTCCACCCACACAATTGGACTTCCGGAGGATAATAGGGAACAAGGTAAACATTTCAGCAATTTTTGTTTTTGGGCGAAAAAAGTTAAAAAAAATCCAAAATTGAAGGCTAAGATAAACGTTTTTGAAAAATTTTGCAGGTTTCGAAACCCGGTGTCAAAAAGCCTTTAAATTTTAGGGGATACATTTCGGGGTCATATAATGCCGCTTGGAACCATATATGATCATTATATGTTGTCATAAATGTTCATTGTATGATTGAGTTAATGAAATCCGTGCAAATTATAAACCAGTAAATTGGTTGTTAAAGGCAAATTGGATGGTTCTACCAACCCAATTGGAATCCCGAAGGATATTAGGAACCATGGTAAACATTTCAGCAATTTTTATTTCCGGGCGAAAAAAGTCAAAAAATTACAAAATTGAAGACTAATATCCACAATTTTGAGAAATTTTGCAGGTTCAGGCCCCCGGGGTCGCAAAGTCTTGAAATTCTAGGGGATACATATCAGGGTCATACAATGTCGTTTGGAACCATATATGATTATTATTTGTTGTCATAAATGTTCATAATATGATTAAGTTAATGAAATCTGTGCAAGTTGTAAATCGGCAAATTGGCCTTTTTAAGGCAAATTGGATGGTTCCACCCACCCAATTGGACTCCCGGAGGGTATTAGAGACCATGGTATAAATATCGGCAATTTTTGTTTTCAGGCGAAAAAAAGTCGAAAAGTTCCAAAATTGAAGGCTAATTATCCACGTTTTTTGAGAAATTTTAAAGGATTCAGACTCAGTGTCGAAAAGTATTGAAATTTTAGGGAATACATCTCGGGGTCATATAATGTCGTTTGGAGCCATTTATGTCATTATATGTTGTCATAAATGTTCGTGGCAGACTTAAGTTAATGAAATCGGTTTAAGTAGTAAATCGGTAAACTGGCCTTCTAAAGACAAATTGGATGGTTCCACCCATCCAATTGGAATCCCAGGAGAATATTAGTTACCATGGTAAACATTTCGACAATTTTAATTTCCGGGCAAAAAAAAGTCAAAACATTCCAAAATTGAAGTCTTATATCCACGCTTTTCGAGAAATTTTGGAAGTTTTAGGACACAGTGTCGAAAAGCCTTGAGATTTTAGGGAATACATCTCGGGGGTCATATAATGACGTTTGGAACCATATATGATCATTATTTGTCACAAATGTTGTTGGTAGGCTTGAGTTAAAGAAATCGGTGCAAGTTATAAACCGGTAAATAGGTCGTTTAAAGTCAAATTGGATGGTTCCACCCATCAATCCCGACGGGTATTAAGAACCATTGTAATCATTTCGACAATTATTATTTCCGGGCAAAAAAGTCTAAAAATTCCAAAAATAAAGGGCTAATAACCATGTTTTTTGAGAAATTATGAAAATTCCAGGGCCCGGTATCGAAAAGCATTGGGATTCTAGGGAATGCATCATAGGGTCATATAATGTCGTTTGGAACCATACATGAACATTATTTGTTAATGAAATCGGTGCAAATTGTAAACCGGTAAATTGACTGTTTAAAGGCAAATTGGATGGTTCCACCCACCCAATTGGACTACCGGAGGATATTAAGGATCATGGTAAACATTTCGGCAATTTTTATATACGGGCGGAAAAAGTCAATTTACAAAATTGAAGGCTAATATCCACTTTTTTTGAGAAATTTTTGAGGATTCGCGGCCCGGTGTCGAAAAGTCTTTAAATTATAGGAAATA